GATAAAAATTCCCAAATAACTAAAATATTAAAAGAAATCTGAATATAAAGTGAATTTTTTCTAGTCATTAAAACTAGTTTCTACTTTAATATAATCAATTTTTATTATATATTTATGCAAAAGCATACTTTTATATACTTAATATATAACATATTTTAAGAATGAAAAGATTTTGACCAGTTTTTGACAACAAAAACCAAACTCTCTTGCAACTTTTAACAATTTGTAAGTATAACACTGTTTGCTGAAACAACAATGCACAATATTACAGAAATTTTCTTCAGATTTCAAGTGAAATGGGCTGTCATGCAGCCAAAAACATTGTTAAAGAGTATTTCAGTCAGCAGTGCCATCGGTTGATGAACTTTTTAACTAATTTTGTATTTCGATAGACATAAAACATTTTATTTCCTATGCAGAACACAGCAAACAACATTCTACCTTCTTAATAATTCTAATTAATGATCGTGTCAAACAAAACTTTTTAAATATTTCAAGTATTCAAGTTCTGTTCCCAAATTTTTCATGTAAATCAATATTTCATATGATAAAGTATATTTTGATTGAAAAAAAATGTGGAAGTTTAAATTTTATTTCAGCAAACATATTGTAGAACCACTGAAAGACCTGCATACAGAAACAAACATGAAATTATATATGTTACAATCCAATTATCATGTTATTAATAGCAAAAGTGATTACCATTTTTGAATGGAACTTTCAATTCCAAAGAACTGACTAATAGTTTTTAACGTAAATAATAATTCATAAGATGCCACCATTAGTATTTTCAATTTTAATAAATAAGCAGCAATATTAAAGTAAACATGAGTTCAATTGTACATGAATAAAAATCATTATTATTGGTTAAACTTTTTTTCCTTACACTATTATTGTAACACGAACCAAAATTTAAACCAAAGTTACCATAGTTTCAAAACAAATCCTGCTTTTAATATTTTGGCACAGCAAAAACACTAAAAAAAGTGTTTACAGTAAAAGGTAGTTCACAAAATTTAAAAAGATTAAAGTATAAAATTTTAGTCACAAAAAAACAATTTTAAAACACAAACAAAAAACGTTTAGGACAACAATAGAATGTGCAGTGAGCAAAAAAAAAGCATACCACCCTAAGCAACTTTTGATTTAATGATTGGATCAGCATGTTCTAGGAATCAATATTAATGGTTCAAAGGGGTGACCTCAAATATGCTAATTAATTAGTGCAGACGATATTTTAAGTTATGAAATCAGACACAAAAATACATTTTCTCTGAATAAACATAAATTTTTTTTTATAATAGACATAACTTTTTGTGGGACCCCCCCCCCCTTGTATTTTGGGGATCAGTCGCATTCTGGGAAATATGGTCTCAATGGTTTGGTCAGGGAGAAAGTTTGGGCCCCTTAATACTAATTTAACTACTTGTGTATTTTACATCTCAAGAACTTTTAAATCAAATTGAAAAATTTTTGCACACAATTATAAACTTTGTTTTCCCAACAATAATCCCATGCAAAATAAATTTTTTAATAAATATTCATTTTCATTATTTTATTTTATAACAGTGGGAAAAAAATTTTAATTGTAAAATAAAAAAAATTTACATCATTATAAGGAAGTTAATTTCAAATGGCAAAATACAAAATTTGAGCGAAATCAGTTGAATAATTTCAGAGAAGTCGAATTTTGAAAAAGTCGTTCTTTTAAAATCTTATCATTAGATCAAAAGTTATTCAGAGTAGTCCGTTTCTTATTTGGAGCACTGTACAATGGTCACAGAAACTAATTTACTAATAATGACTTTCAGGTTTGAACAAGAGACTAGCATAACTTCCTATTATGGTATATCTGCCAACTTATATATCTGTAAACATTTAACTTACATCTTCTTTCACACTAACACATCACTTTTTAAACGAGTAATATGTACAAAATGATATGCAATGAGCAAAATGTTAAACATCAGTAAAAAAATAAAATTACGATATAAATTTTAAACAATCATTGAAAATTAACTAACATCATCATGGTCACAAACTATAAAAGATCAAAATCAAAGTAACGCCATTAAGATAATACAGACAATTAAGACATTGAATAAAGCGAGCAAAGATTAGAATATTTTGAGATATGATTTATTTTTCTACGAAATGCTTTTATTAAAAAATAATGATACCTGAGTTTCTAATATACCTGAGTAAAATTTAATATTATACAAATTAATTTAGTTAAATAAGATTAAATGGTAAATAACTTAATAAAGTTTTGTCATATTTATCATTACACATAAAAAGTTTACCAACTTTTTCCTGAATTAAATCCTTTCGATTTCGTACGTTTCTGTAGAATTCAACATTATACAAATAAATTCAATAATTTTTTTCGTGTGATTTAGCTTTAAGCAAACATAATAGAATTTCGCTAAATTAAACATTACAAAAACACTTGAGAATTTTTTTTTTTAAATTTCACGATGCACAATTACATTTAATAAAAACATAACAACTCACATTTGCGTTTTAAGAATAACAAAAAAAGCATTTTATATTGCAAATTGCATGCTTTTTTTTAAGTTAGTTTTTTCCTTAAATTCTTTTTACGTTACTTTTTACATAAGTTTTGTACAATCTAATATTATACAAATGAAATTAATAGAGATAAGAATCGACATTCAATATTAATTTAATCAAATCTGGTTAGATTACACAAAGATAGAATTTTGAAAGATAACATTACATAAATAAATTTAGAATAGTCCTTAAGAATTTAATTCTAAATAATTAGGTTAAAGATAAGGTTTTGTAGTACTTAACATTACACAAAATAAATTTAATATTGTTTTTAATGTTTTAGCTTTAAGCAACTCGGTTTTTGTCAGATTTAAAAATACGAAACATTTAGTATAGTTTACTAAGATTTTACATAACACAAACTTAATCGAATTTTGTAATATTTAACAACACACATTTATATCTAAAGAATTACAAAAAATACATTTATTGTTGATAACTGCATACTTTCTGTTAAATGTCTGCATAACAGATTATCATTATTACTTCAAATTTCACATTGGATGTTAACAATGTTTTGAGAGCCAATAAATTTAAAATTAAATAATGCATACCAACACAAACAATTTTGAACATTAATTTTATTTTAACATAATACTGAGAAACTTGCTTTTTTTAAAAAAAAAAAAAAAAAGACGTTTATTTAAATATATAATCGAAAAGATTTTTTGAAAAACAGTGCTCAGGATTTTTTGAAGGAAAAAACCTCGTTTTAATTTCTAATAGCTTAAAGTAGCAAAATATTTATATGAAAAGAGAATTAGACAAATGTCTGATATTCCTCGCAAATATTTGTATCAAATTAAAGTGAAATACAAAATGATAAACTACGTGTCAAAACTTTCACACTATTTTTTGTTTTTATAATTTTTCTTTTTATTGGCTTATCACTTTCAAGCAATAAGGCCTTTAAGTGTATGAATACATAGAGCAACAAAAATGTAAAAAAAAAAATTTAAAAAAACAATGTTATTGAACACAATACAAGCCTTTTAAAGGCAAATACACTATGATCTTTATTTTTTAAATATTTACAATGATTCTTTTCTCAGCTCAGTAACTGAGATATGTTTAAAAAAAATTAAGTTGCAAATTTACTTTGTTTTTATAACTGCTAAGGCAATAAAATGAAAATAGAATTACAATTATAGTCAGAATAATGATTTATATTTTTTATAAGTTTAAAAGCACAATCATAAAACTATCATAAATGTGTATGTAAGTTTAATTTATTTAAATGTAGTGGACGTCATAATCATTCTTAATAAAATTGATATGTTTAAGAAATAAATACAAAGCCTTAAATTTTAATACCACATCATTTTAAATATAAAAATAAAGTTGCACTTAAAATGTGTAAAAGTTGACAATCATGCACTTTTAACGCGGCTAGGCTTAGTTAGCAAGGCTTAAGAAATTCATGTTTACGATAATGAAGATTCACAATTTAATATAAAATAAAAAATTTTAACAAACCATTTTTCACCCTTTAATTGCAGTACTTATGTTAAATTGCTACTGCTTCTTTTTCTGAATTTTTGGTTGCAGCGATCACACAACTGCACTTAGGTTACTTAACATCATAGCTCTAGCTGTTTTGTTTTCTGATGATATTTCCATTAAGAGTGAAATAACAAACTGTTATATTTTGATACAGCGTAAAAGCATCTACACAGAATTATCAAGTCCCTTTTAAATATTTTTGAATTACTAATATTTTGTGCAGGGTAGAATCATTTCCTATCATATTTATTAAATCAAGAATTAAATATTAAAATATTAAAAAGAAATTTTGCTATTAAAAAAATCTTTCCTTGCAGTTGCAGTTAATTTATGTCGCACTAGAGCTGCACAATGTGCTATTGGCGACTGTCTGGGAAACATCCCTGAGGTTGATCCAAAGGAAAAAAAAATCTTTCAAAACAAGTTAAAGAAATTGTAAGTTGAGCTACTATTTATATATTTTATTTATTGATAATACTATACAATCTCAGGATTAATTTTGAAATTTTCAGTAATATTTACGCTATTTCAAAAAATAGCATGCCCAGTTTGAAAAAATAAAGAATCAAAAATGATCAAAAAAATAAAGAAACATCCAATTTTTAACATAAATGATTCAAGAAGAAAAAACTGATATAAATAGAAATGAATAATTACGAAAAGTATTAAATCTTCATATGAAAGATTGCAAGACAGTAATATGCCACTTCTGAAATATACCATGACAAAATAAATACGTAGTAGAATGACAAGAAACTATTAATACAAATCATTCCGACTTGTCCACCACTTTTTAATTTTTTTTTTTCATTTTTTAACTCATCACTGTCTCACAGTAAAGCCATCCCAATTTGAAGAGACGTGTGAGAAAATATACTTGTCAAGCAGTCATCATCCTCCTACATTCATCCTTTCATCTTCTGAAATTTTTGTTTTGGTTCCTAGATATTAGTTGTTTCCTAAGACGCCTTAACGTCTGAAGAAGTTTCAATTGAATCTGATGTTGGGACCTGTAAAAAAATATGTTAATATAAGTTAAGTTATTATATTAAAAGGGTAAAATCCTAGAATAAACCGCCTCTTGGAGACTTTTTGAAATCTCGCCAAGTTGGCGATTATTACTCGCGTCAAAGTTGTTTTTTGATTATTAAAAAAAGCACTTTAAATTGTTAAATATTTATTAAACTATTTTTAATAAAATAAAATAAGAAATAACTTGCTATAAGGTTGCGACATATCTCCCCGAAATATCTTTCAGAAACCTAGTTTGGCGAGATTTCAAAAAGTTGCTTGGCGAGATTTCAAAAAATCGCCAGGGGGTGGGCTGTTCTAGGATCTACTCCATTAAAAGTTGTTACATTAAAAATGTTAAAAGTCACAAATTTGATTAAATACGTTAAATTCCATTTAAAAAAATGCATTTAATGCAAACGCTAAATTCAGATTTACACCTTTGAGTAAAGCGTCCTTTTAAAAAGACAAATAATATGCTTGAAGTGGGATGAATGCAAATGGCGTAGTGTGGGTATTTCGATCCTGACTGGTTTTTGAAACGTGGCTTTTGTTTACGTTAGCAACTGTTCTTTCCATCTATTTGGAGTTAACCAAGCCCGTCAAGTATCAATTTGCTTAAGTGACACATTCTATATTCTTTCACTAAGATTTCAATTCTTTCGCTATATATTTCTTACTTCACGCAAATACAGGCACGAAATCATGCAGAACATAAATAAACTAATTATTCATCGAAGTTGTAAGATACACAAAACAAAAATATATCACGGTTACAATAAAATACATAAACAAATAATCAATCCAAGTTAAGTAAAGACGTAGAATGAATTATATTTTCACAAATTCGATGTGCGACACGGCTTTGTATTTAATTAACTTCACGTTATTTTACATCCTAACTTATATGGAGAGACTTATCTCAACTTTAACAATCCATTTTCCTTATAAACTATCAACTTGGCCAGGATAGCCTGGTTGGTTGGACACTAGGCCCATGTCCAAGAGTTCGTGTGTTCGATCACAAGGAAGAGTAGTAAATAGTGACTGATGCACGTACTGTTCCAGGAGCGCCCTCGTCTTCTGGATTGGGTTCAAAATTACTACGCTACGGAATTCAACATTAGTAGTCGTAAACCCAAAAATTGGGTCGGCTGTTCAACGATGGATGTTTAAAAAAAAAACTATCAACAAGGGAGGAGGTGAGCCAGTTTTCAAATAGAAATGAAGAAAGTCTGTTGGAAAAAAGGCAGCACAGTAGAAGAAAGTCAGTGCCCCTGCGCACACAGAGCACCCCTCCAAGTACTGCCAACGTTTCAATACACTCTTCAGATCATCCTAACTTTTCTATTCTTTTTAAATATTTTTCAGTACCAGCATAACATCCTGGCACACAATGCCACCCTGGAGACGACAGGACCAGTTCTAAGGATCCGGTCGTCGGTACCCCGGGAAGGCGAAAACAAAACTCAGTTTTGTTGTCCGGCAGCCACGTTAATTGGTAGAATTCATTTTTTTTCCTCCATCAAATCACTCAGAACACACAGCAATAGCCCACTAGCCAAATCAAAACTAATTGGCCATTAATTTAATTGTAATTGGTCATGAATTATAAATTAACTGATTGTAATTACTCATCACTAAGGCCCGGATTTTGATGACATTTGCATTTGCAATTTTTTTGCATTTTTGGACATTTTTTGTCTTTTAGAGCATTTTTTTAGATTTATAGGGCATTTTTCTTGAAATTTTGGGGCGTATTTTGCATTTTAATGCATTTTTTAAAGTTTTCTGTTAATTTTTTACAATTTTTATTATTTTTTATCAATTTTCATTATTACACTGGCTTCCAAACAATAAAGAAAATCTATAGGAATTTTCCGGAAAAGANTCCCATAACAAATCAAACCTCTGGGGGTACTGAACCAGAAAAGTTTCCTTGTCTTCTGGATTGGTTCAAAATTACTAGGCTACGGAGTTGAACATTAGTAGTCGTAAACCCAAAAATTGGGTCGGCTGTTGTACTAGTTACAATGCCACCCTAGAGGTGACAGAACCAGTTTTATGGATCAGGTCATTGGTACCACGAGAAGGCGACTCGGTTTTGTTTTTCTGGCAACAAATAGCAGAATTAATTTTTTTCTCCTCTATCAAATCACTCAGGACACACAGCAATAGCCCACTAGCTTAATCAAAACAAATTGGTCATTAACTGGAATTTAATTGCAATTGGACATTAATTGTTAATCAACTTATTGTAATTTCTCATCACTCAATTCTTCATTGATTATCTGTATTCACACTTGTAATCATAGATACCGTAGCCTCTGTAACTGGATTAATTAATTATGTCATCAAAACTTAATTTGTTATAACATAAGTTACTTAGGATACTTTTGTAATGTCTTTAATAAGAGGATCTCCTCTAATATTACTTTATTAACAATTGTAATCCCGCATTTGTTACCTATTGTTATCCTGATAATTTTCTGTAATTTTAATATATTTTAGTATGTTATATACTGTTACAATTTGTAACTTATACAATGCATTGTAACTATGTGTAATACTGTAAATGTAACTGTAACACTGATAATTCCTAAGAGGTAACCCCCCTTCCGACTGGTACGCACAACCCCAATGCAATATTTTATTCTAATTTCCTTTAACAGTTATCCAAGTGATGCTATTCCCCCTTAATTTTAATTTATAATTTCCATTTTTAACTTAAAACTGTAATTGCTTTACTTTTGTAATTATTATTTTCCATGTCCTAACCCCTTACTTTTCAGCAAGCTCAGACAGACGAGATTTGTGGGTCTGTAGGGTTGCAGGATTGGCGGGACCGAGCACTCGTCTTCCGGGTAAAGACTGCGTGGTTTCTGTGTCCGGGAATGTAGACAAACTTTGAAAATAAAATTTGACAAAAAATAAAATCTAGACAAATTCAGCTTGTATCGATAGGAAAAGCGACTGAAACCTGTCATGTGATCAGTTGAACCTTCAAAATGTGCGCTGTCTAGCTAATCGGAAAGTGGTCATAATTTCGATTTCATTATTTCATAGCTACATGCACGAAAGGTGGTTAATAAAAAGTAGTTAAAAATAAATAAATAAACGGCCCTAAAGCTGAACAAAAGTTAAGCATAGACTTATATTTCAAAATGTAATAGTAATTATTTTCAACAACATGTAACAAAATGGTAGCTACCTCTTTTCTCTTGATGAGGCATAAGATGTTAACCCACAGAAATGAAGCACATCCAACGTAGGCCACTCTAGTGTAGGGAGGTAGGAAACAGAAATTGATCGCTTGAGCGGGCAACCAGAAGCAACAACTCACCTAAAAATAAAGTGAATCACTTTGAATGTAAATGAAACAATACCAAAAACATAAAGAAGATTTATTTGCTATCAGAATAGAGTTCTATAACTGAACATGGTTTAGAATATGAGTCTGCAATTAGCTGATCAGTCGAACAAAAGTTCCGTCGTCACATATGAAATGATGCTTTTCTGGCGAATAATATATTATTTTCATAACTGCTGTAAGTTTGCAACAGTTACTCCTTACTGTTAGGTCAAGTTTAGTCTATTTTTAACCACTTCTCCTTACGTTTATTCTGAAAATGGCGCAAAACGTCAATGTGGAGAAAAGACGCAGTTTTGTTTTTCTCCAAGTTTTTCTTTAGTAAAGAAGAACTTGGAATCTAATTTTTTTATGTTTAAAAACTTACTCCAATGCTGCATTATCTGGACTCATAAAAATTTTCAGAAACTGTGAATAAGGCAGTGAATGTGAAAATTTTCATATCGGTAGAAAAATATCGCCAAATTGGCGATTTCGAAAAAAGTTTAATAGCTTTTAAAATATTTAAATTATGTAAGCAGAGATAGTGTTTCACGGCAAGATATATATAGTTTAAAATTATAGCTTTGATTCACACTTTGTTTAAGTGCTTTAAAGGCACTTAAACGTGTTTTTTTTTTTTTTCTTGGCGAAAGAGTTTTGAAAACCTATGTTAACGCTGATTTGTGAAACTTTGTCTACAAGGAAAATAAAAAAGCCATTGATTAAAGGCCTTACACTTGAAGCAATGCGATGACTTTAAGCTATATATATCTGCTCTCTTCGTGAAGAATTATCTAGGCTTAAAATGTACAAATAACATACATATTTTAAAAGTTATTAAACCTCTTAAAAATAGATAATTTGGCCATATTTTTCCACCTAGATGAAAATTATCAAAATCTTATTCTCAGCTTTTGCAAATTTTTATGAACCCAGATAGGTAATGTAGCATTGAAGTAAGTTTTTAAATATTAAAAAATTTGACCACAAACGCTTTTTATGTTCACAAAATTGGCCTAGCTCCATATTCACGTTTTGCGTTATTTTCAAAATAAGCGTAGATAGCGCTGTCTTTATATAAGTTAAACTTCACCAAATAGTCATGAGTAACAGTTGCAAACACAGCAGTTATAAAAATAGCATATTATTCACACGAAAAACATAATTTCATATTACGACGGAGACTTCGAAAAACAGACTTTGTTGTCATCGAGAGTATTGACAAAAGAAACAAAATAAAAATTTCACTGAACATATAATTCCGGTGTGGTGTTGCTATGCCAAATGATATTGCCCCAACTCCTCCTAAAAGTTTATCAACAAATTTTTGAGACACCCTGTATAATTTAAATTAATAAAAATTTTCAGAATATAATAATGATTTTCTTTTAAATAAATATATAATTCATCGAACAATGCATTGAATTCAATGCAAATTTATGCCTCAACTTTGCCAAGGCTTTTGATAGCATTAATTGAGAAAAAATTTATGTATTCAAGATATGTTGCTTTCCCCTATAAATAACCAATATAATTAAAAGCCTACATGAAAATAGTATTGGGGAAATTTTAGTAAATGGTGCAGCAATACAGAGTTTCAACATCAGAACTGAAGTCAAAGAGGTCTGCGAAATTCTGGAATGCTGTTTAATATAGTTGTTACCGTGAAATTGGTGGTTGTTGACTTACACCGGTAAACATTGATAATCACATTGTCGCTTTAGTAAATTATATACTAGGTCTAGTTAAGTGCCACTACCCGGTAAACATTTGCACGATGTGTCCTACATTGATGTTTTTTTTTAAGGTTCAGTGCCACTGCCTGGTACACATTTGCCGCTATACATTAAACTAATATTTTTTTAAGGTTCAGTGACACTGCGTGGTATACATTTGCAGCCATACTCTACACCAATATTTTTTTAAGGTTCAGTGAGACTGTCCAGTATACATTTTCCCGTATTCCCTACACTAATGTTTTTTAAGGATTAGTGACAATGCCCGATATACATTTGCCGCTATACCCTACACTAATGTTTTTTTAAGGTTCAGTTACACTGCCCTGTATACATTAACCGGTATACCCCTTACTAATGTTTTTTTAAGGTTCAGTGACACTGCCCGATATACCCTTCACTAATGTTTTTAAAGGTTCAGTGCCACATCCCTATATACATTTGCCGGGATACCCTACACTAATGCTTTTTTAAGGTTCAGTGACACTGTAAGGTATACATTTGCCTGTATACCCTACACTAATATTTTTTTAAAGTTCAGGGAGACTGCCCGATATACATTTGTCCGTATATCCATCACTAATATTTTTTAAGCAGTGACACTGCCTGGTATACATTTGCCGCTATATCCTACACTTATGATTTTTTAAAGGTTCAGTGACACAGTCCGGTATACATTTGCCGGTATACCCTACACTAATGCTTTTTTAAGGTTCAGTGACACTGCACGGTATACATTTGTCGGTATACCCTCAGTGACACTGCCTGATATACATTTGCTGCCATACCCTACGCTTATATTTTTTAAGGTTCGGGGAGACTGCCCGATATACCCTTCACTAATGTTTTTAAAGGTTTAGTGCCACATCCCGATATACATTTGCCTGTACACCCTACACTAATGCTTTTTTTAAGGTTCAGTGATACTGCACGGTATGCATTTGTCAGTATATCCTTCACTAATGTTNTGTTTTTTTAAGGTTCAGTGACACTGCCCGATATACCCTTCACTAATGTTTTTAAAGGTTCAGTGCCACATCCCTATATACATTTGCCGGGATACCCTACACTAATGCTTTTTTAAGGTTCAGTGACACTGTAAGGTATACATTTGCCTGTATACCCTACACTAATATTTTTTTAAAGTTCAGGGAGACTGCCCGATATACATTTGTCCGTATATCCATCACTAATATTTTTTAAGCAGTGACACTGCCTGGTATACATTTGCCGCTATATCCTACACTTATGATTTTTTAAAGGTTCAGTGACACAGTCCGGTATACATTTGCCGGTATACCCTACACTAATGCTTTTTTAAGGTTCAGTGACACTGCACGGTATACATTTGTCGGTATACCCTCAGTGACACTGCCTGATATACATTTGCTGCCATACCCTACGCTTATATTTTTTAAGGTTCGGGGAGACTGCCCGATATACCCTTCACTAATGTTTTTAAAGGTTCATTGCCACATCCCGATATACATTTGCCGGTATACCCTACACTGCTTTTTTAAGGTTCAGTGACACTGCACGATATACTTTTGTCGGTATACCCTCAGTGACACTGCCTGATATACATTTGCAGCCATACCTTACACTAATATTTTTTAAGGTTCAGGGAGACTGCCCGATATACCCTTCACTAATGTTTTTAAAGGTTCAGTGCCACATCCCGATATACATTTGCCTGTATACCCTACACTAATGCTTTTTTTAAGGTTCAGTGACACTGCACGGTATACATTTGTCAGTATATCCTTCACTAATGTTTTTTTAAGCAGTGACACTGTCTGGTATACATTTGCCGTTATACCCTACACTTATGTTTTTTTAAAATTTTAGTGCCACATCCCGATATACATTTGCCTGTATATCCTACACTGATGTTTTTTTTAAAGGTTCAGTGACACAGTCCGGTATACATTAGCCAGTATACCCTAACACTTAAGTCTTTTTAAGGTTCAAGGTTCAATGACACTGCCAGGTATACATTTGACTGGTACTCCAAAACTGATGTTTCTCCTAATCTATCCTCAGCAGATATTAAAATATCGAATAAATATAATAATTCCAACGAATAATTTAATATCAAATTTGATATAACAAATATCATGGACATTCACCAAAGCGAATATGTGATTGTTGACATTCACCGGTGAAAGTAAACATTCTCTTGATTTCGGTAACATAGTCATTGACTCGACAATGCGATCCAAAAACTGGATGATCCAACTTATACTTAAAAATTCATTTAATAAAAATAAGTTTTATTAAATGAATAGTACTTGTAAAAGTAAAAATGTTGTATTGTACAGGAAATGATGTAAAAGTAACTTACTGCATATGTACTTAGGAATTTAGCTTTCAGTTCAGCAAAAACATCTTCTTTGCCTTCCAAAAGACTCATGCCTAAAATATTAAATGAATATTATTATTATTGTTATTTCAATTTTATTTATTCACTTATTCATTTTTGTACTGAAAGAACATTAGCAATTTTTTCCGGTAAACTTCCACTATTTCAATTTAAAAACTGAAACTGGACAATATAAATTACACAGCTGTCATATACATTTTTAAATTCGCTATGAAATTGCAAAAGCGACAATGATACAAGAGAGACTCGTAAATTTAAGCAAGCAATCAATGAATGCCATGTTAAGTGTGCAGCTCAATTTTTGAACTAAATATTGACATTTGAATTTATCAATTGAATTGTAGTCAAGAAATAAAAATTTAAATCTATTAAATACAGAGTATCCAATAAAAAACAGACCCACTTTGAATAACAACTATAAAACCACGATTTGAGGAGGGGGAATACTGCATCATCATTATTAGAAAAGCAATATATTTTGAGAAATGAATCTTGTTCAAACAGTTTAAAGTTTTGCCACTGTATCTCTAAGACAATTGAACCAGATTAATAAAAATTTGTGCACAATTGTAAATGTCGTTTATGTAAAAATAACTTCATGCAACTATATTTTTTGGATTATTATTTTTTATTATTTAATAAGGGTCAAATAGTCAAAAACCTTTGTATGTTAAGATTTATAAATTTTTACTTCAATAACTATATAAGTTTAAATGAAAAAATACATAGTTAATGAAGTAAATGTTCAATGAAGATTTAACAAAACCGGTATTGCAATCGGTCAAATAACTTCCGATAAATACAATTTCAACGTACAGTTTCTGGAGCAAGTATATATTTTTATCAACATTTTCCTCTACTAAAAAAACTAAAACCACGAAATAAATTCAGGAAAAATTAATAGATTTAAACATTTGTTTAGACCTTTATTAATTATTTTTATTTGTCAAATTCAAATAAATTTGCCTAAATAAAGCAATTCTTTATAAAGCTTAAAGTTCATTCTCAGACAAAAAAAAAAAAAAAAGGATTCTACCTTCAAATTAACCTACAGAAAAATTATATCAATACAATTTATTTATTTTTGAGTACTTTTGCTTCATTTTATTCACTTAGAAGTATGTTATAAAATCTAGTTACCGAATCTAAAATGTAATATACAAGTATTTTTAAAATATTCTCGTAGCCTAACTATGCAGCTAGGTTTAATGAAACACATTTCAAAAACTAAATGAAATAAGAAATATCCAAAATTTTAAAAAAGTGCTTTCAGATAATTCACCATTGGTAAACATTAAAAAAAAAAGAACGTTTAATGAAAATTTTGCATCAAAGGGTTCAAAAGGAAAAAATTATGATCGCTTAAAATTATGATCACTGGTCACCCATTGGTCAAATGCTTTTTTTTTTCTGGCTTCGCCACAACATTTCAAACCATGGATTTCAAAAACTGTCTAAATTGATGTTGGTCGTCGGATTGGTTTTCAAATCCTGGCTATATACGTGTTTCAAGAAGTCGCAAAATACTTTCCTTCTTCATTACTCATATTTATATTAAAATCCCAGGCAAGACAGCTATTATAAGTTAATAATAAAAAGAATATTAAAATACTTTAAATTATTATTAAGTAAATACATTAAAAATGACTAATGGTGAAAATAAAAAGAAAAAAAGAATTCTAAAAAAATTTTCAAACAGCAGCGGTCGCCATAGCAACGCACGCAATGACGACGCATGCGCACTGTTTACTATTACTCTTGAACACAGTTGAAAAGTGTAATGACGTCCAAATAAGGTGCTCCCGCCATGAAACCCAAAACAAGACCCGTTTAGCCAATGGGTAATAGATTCCCTTATTTTTCTGAAGAAAATCCTTAAAAGTAATTTAAATTTATTAAGCTTATTATCTTTGAAAAATATAGAACTGGCTTATTAACAAAAGTGCAAATTGTTTATTAAAAAGTTACCATTCCGTGGCTTAATACTATATAATTAGTAATTGGCAAACCAAATAGTCAGTTGGCGAATATTTGCTATGCAGTATTCGTCCAATATCATTGTTATAATCCTTAGAGGATAGAACACTCGCCCCCATTGAGGTGACCCAGGTTTGAATCCCAGGGTAGACTGTTCTATACGAATTTTGCTAGCTACTCGCACTGACCACAGTGCCTACATAAAATATCCTCAGTGGCAGACGAATCATGGGTTAGAATTCCTTTGCCTTCGGGCTAACCGTGAGAGATTTTCGAGGTTCCCCTCTCCATCTAAAGGAAATGCGAGTTAGTTCCATCAAAAAGTCCTCGACCAAGGCTAATTTGTCCGGAGCTGATCCAGGAGTTTCATTGTCTTATAGATTGGTTAATATTACAAGGCTACGGGTTAAATATTGACAGCGGTAAACTCAGAATTGAGTCGGCTGTTCAATATTATAATACCTAATTCTTCAGAGCAAAGTTTAACATATTAATGATATGAACACAGAATAAAAGTATTAATGTGTATTTGTAATGTTCTTCAGTCGCTGAATTTAATTTACATGGTAATTTACAATAAATTTGCAGTAGTGTTTAAATTATGAATTCAAATTTTCAGTTTTTAATACAAATAATACGATTTAAGTTATTTGTTTGAGACTACTTGCAAAAAAAAAAAAATGATATTCATAACTTGTGATAAATTGCAGAATTAAGTGAGTAATATTATCCTATTTTCTTATCCGTCAAATGTTTATTTGACAATTCAATGTCTAATACAGGGGTCGCCAAACTTTTTTGATCATCGACCCCTACATAATTTTTCGAAGTCTCCATCGACTCCCATGAAAGTAATTTTCTGTTAATTAAAATAAAACTCTATTAGATACTGTGTTTGCACATTTATTTTATGATTTTAAACATTTATTTAAGTAATAGTACATTGTGTAACAATAGTTTTATGAAAAATATATTAATGTTGAAATATAAATACCTTAATATTTATGAAATAATAAGTAATTATAAGTAAGTAGAAATAATAAGTAAAGTAACTACGGATTTATTGCTTCTTAATCAATGACATGGGTGTGCCTGGTGTTTTTTTTTTTTTTTTTGCAAGGTTCGTTATATTGGGTTCAAAATTGGTCAATTTTAATCTTAAATCCCCTCGAAACTCCACATTTAATTTATTTCTGTTCTTAGTTAAGATTGAATTTACGTGACTGAAACCGGCTTCAACCATATAGGAACTTGGAAATGCTATCATAAATGGCTGAGCTATTTCGTAAAGTCTTACATATTTTTGCATTATATTTATATTTGTCCAAAATTTGCTTATTGTTAAATTTTTAAAAAGCGTCTTTGCTTCAAATCCCCATAATAATTCAGCAAGCTCATCTTGCAGGTTGATGTCCATATTTTCAATTTGAGCAGAAAATGGCACAATAATCCAATCAGGGATGTCAATGTTTTCCAAATCAACAAAGCGCAGTTTAAAATCATCGCTCAATTTTTGAAGATGACCTGTATATATTTCCATGTCTTCTTCTTTTATTTCTAACTGTCGCAGATTTGAAAAATATTGATAATCCTTACGTAGCAATGAAGATCTAAATAAATTTAATTTTACTTGGAAGCCTAACAGTATTGTTTGAACTTCTATAATTGTTACATCTTTTCCTTTCGGCTTTGTTTGGACATCATTAAATTTTTCAAATAAGTCCACTAAATAAAAAATACGGTTCTTATTGTTTTGGAGTTCATCAATCAGAACAGGGTTTATTTCCCTGAGAAATTCGGTCGTGGAGTCAAATAACTCAACGAGCCTTTGCGAGCATACACCTCTAGACCACCATCTAACTTCGGTGTGCAGAAGTAATTGGTTAAATAACTCGTTGTTTTCCTCACAAAGTTTGGAAAATAATCTTGATTTAAGAGGTTGGGCTTTAATTTGATTGATACACTTAATACAAAACTGTAAAGCTTTATGTAACTCTGGACTCAGATATTTTGCTACTAAGTTGTTTCTATGCAACACACAATGAATAGTACGTATACCAGGCACTTTTTCCTTGAGAAATGTAGCAAAACCTCGGTAACGCCCTACCATTGCAGGTGCCCCATCTGTGGCTACCGCTATTATATTTTCAAGTGGAATATCGTAATATATTTAAATATTCTTGAAAACTAAAAATTGTCTCTCCTTTTCCATCAGTTTCAAGATATTTAGCAAATAAAAATTCATCATGACTTGTCCTTTCATTTTACTGAAATATCTAACGTGCACCATAAGAATAGCAGAAACGCCAATAACAGATTCATCAAGTTAAATAGAAAACTTGCAATTTTTTAGCTCTGAAACTACCGTATTTTCTACTTCTTCAGTCATTTCGTCAATACGCCGTTTTACAGAATTTGCACTTAATGTCAATGATTTTAAAACATCAACGGAGTCTTTTTTCATTACATTCTCAATGACGTCTTTAATTGCAGGTATAGCAATTTCTTCAGCAATTGCGTGTGGTTTTCCCCCTCTTTATTATATTAAGCGAAATCTTGTACGAAGCTATTGATCCTCCTTCAGTTTCAACTTCAGTAGACTGCTTCATAAAACTTCTTAAAGTTGGTTGACATGTGAATTTTTCTTTAAGTTTCTTGAAGAATTCAAGTTCTTTACTTTTTTTTATCTGGGTGAACCCTATCAAGATGATCTTTCAATTTTGACGGTTTCATATAGTCAATTCAAAAAGTTTTTTCACATAGAAGACACATAGGAATCGTTTAATTTGGTTGTTATAAATGATGTCTGATATTAAGTCAATTCTAAAATAATTCACACATTATACCTACTCAATTAGGTATGTATGATTTGCGTATTAAGAACTGTTTTTTCTTCGAGCCCCAATCGACCCTTCCGTTTCGGATCGACCCCCATTCGACCCCCTGGCTCGGATCGACCCCCGCTTTTGCTAAATAGACCCCTGGGGGTCTATATAGACCACTTTGGCGACCTCTGGTCTAATAAATGAGGTGCCGAAATATTTGTCTCTTAAGT